GGCTGTTCCTGGGACAGCCCCACTCCCCACTGTCTTATGGCGACCTGCTTCCCCACCTCCTAGCTTGGTTAAGGCAGCCTCCCACTCTTCTCCCTTCCATCACAATTATCCAAGTCCAGCCTGGTCTACCACGGGGGAGATCAGCGTGACTGTCCTCTCCCCAGAGATACACACTTGAATCCCTTCCCGTCACTTATTTCTGCTCTGCCCTGCCTCCAGATCACTTCCACTTCTCACGGTTTGCCTGGGCCATTGCTCCAGCCTTTAAATATCTTTCACTTCCTGGTGCTTCCTTCCCACTTAGCCTGCCAGATTCATGATTCTTAAGCACCGCACTGAGGCCACCCCAGTGCTGGCTGCTTCCCGCTGCTGACACCACAGGGACGGATGCTTTGGAGCCCCCCGACCACTTGTCCAACTCCTGCTTTCCCATTTTACAATTTCACTTCTAGTTTCTGTCTCCCAACCTTGAGTTTGCTTGTATTTTTGCTCTGAGTTTAGCCAACAGCAGTGAGTGATTTACTGCCTGCCACGGTCAGGACACCCTCTGCTTTCTGGCTTATAAACATTCTCGGAACTATTTATGATCCACCTATCATATGTTTAGTTCTAAGGTTACTTTGGAAATATGGTTTAGTAAAAGCAGATGAGGCTGTGCTTTCATGAACAAGGGTTCTGTTTAAAACATTAAAACCAAAGTCCTCTGCCCCCACAAATCTGAGAGGGTTTTCACCAGTCTCCTTAGCTACTTAGCCCCTTCCTATACACCGATCCCCCCAATACAGCTTCCCTACAGTCCAGAGGTAGAGAAGAATGAGACTTTTCCCTCCTTTTTTTTAAATTGTAATTTATTTTTGTTAAATTTTCAAATATTGGGGCTGGAGTGATAACACAGCGGTAGGGCGTTTGCCTTGCTTGCAGCCAGCTCGGCCAAGCTGGGTTCTATTCCTCCGCCCCTTTCGGAGAGCCTGGCAAGCTACCGAGAGTATTCAATATGCCAAACACAGTAACAAGAAGTCTCACAATGGAGATGTTACTGGGCCCGCTCAAGCAAATCGATGAGCAACGGGAGGACAGGATAGGACAGGACAGTTCAAAAATTGAATCTCCACGAATCACAAAGTTACAAAGATACTTATGATTGAGTTTCAGGTATATATAGTTCCCACAGCAATCCCTCTGATGCCCACTACCTTCTATCAATGGCCCCAGTTTCCCCTCTGACCTCCCAGCCTCTTCTGTGGCAGGCACTTTTCCCCTTGCCCATTGTCCTAGTGTTCTGTTCCCTAACTTAACCCCCTCGGCCCTGCCCCAGTGCCAAGTTTCCTCCTGAAGACTTCCCTGCTTAGAGGAGTGTTTTTCAACCTCATGAGCCTCAAAAGAGCTGCTGTTGGAATTTTGCAAGCCCACACAAAAGGGTATTAAGCTTTCATAAAGTTAAAGATTAACATTTCTCTCTGTCACAACATTTTATTTCCTTCTCCACAGTGACTACACATATCCGGAATAAGCAACATCAACTATTTGTGTGAGCCTTGACTAATTACTTAGACCTTACACCCAGTACTTTGTAATAAATGGTTAGAAACCTGTAATTCTCATAGAGCAGCTGGATGGTAAAAGGAAGATAAAGAAACATAAAAGAGTATTATAAAAGACAGGAGAGATAATATAGGAATTAGAGTTATGGTGCTTGCCTTGCATAACGGCTGACCCAAGTTAGAATCCTGGCACCACTTATGGCCCCTCAAACATTGCCAGGAGTGATCCCCAAGCATTGTCAAGGGTAGGTTCGCCCTCCACTCCCTACCCCATAAAGAGTGTAATAGAACTATGAAAACCTGTCTAATGTGTCTCAGGTTCCTACAAGTCTTTAACCCACCCTTTCTCAAACTGTTCTTTCCTAGTCTATTTCTCTACAAAACGCCTTCTCCAGATGATGCAGACATGAAAGTTACTTTGAGGACCAGAATCCGCTGCCTTCCAACCTGCAGGCTTGTTGCCACAAACTCTCTCCACTCCCAACTTGCACCCTTCTGGCATCGTTGAACTGGACCTTCAGGCTTCCAATACCATATTGATGGTCATCACACAGTTCTATCACTTTCTTTCTGATGCTATCATGCAGAGAATTCTCTTTCAGTGATTCTTGGAGGTGAGAGTGTTTCAGTACCCTATGTAGGCAAGAAACAAGGTACATATTACTCTAGTTTACATCTCTTTTAAAAAAAAACAGTATATATTTTGGGGCAACAAGCAAGTGTATGGGTTGGTGAAAGAATGACTTATTGGCATTAAGAAGAATTTATTAGGGGACTGGAGCGATAGCACAGTGGGTAGGGCGTTTGCCTTGCATGCAGCTGACCCAGGTTCGATTCCCAGAATCCCATATGGTCCCCTGAGCACTGCCAGGAGTAACTCCTGAGTGCAGAGCCAGGAGTAACTCCTGTGCATTGCTGGGTGTGACCCAAAAAGCAAAACAAAACAAAACAAAAAAAATGTATTAGGAAGGGTAGAGCTACAGTGGGCTAGAGCGATAGCACAGCGGGTAGGGCATTTGCCTTGCACGCAGCTAACATGGCCGACCCGAGTTTGATTCCTCAGCCCCTCTCGGGAGTATCTCGCCCGCACGGCAGAGCCTGGCAAGCTAGCCGTGACGTATTCGATATGCCAAACACAAGTAACAACAAATCTCACAATGGAGACGTTACTGGGCCCGCTCGAGCAAATCGATGAACAACGGGAGGACAGTGACAGAGCTACAGTACAGCAAGTAGGGTGCTTGTCTTGCATGCAGCTGAGCTAGGTTCGATCCCCAGCATCCTGTGTGGTCCCCTGAGCACTGCCAGGAGTAGTTCCTAAGTGCAGAGCCAGCAGTAATCCCTAAGCATCATCAAGTGTGGCCCAAATCCCCCCCTAAAAGAAGAAAAAAAATTTATTAGGGACATTGGACACTTGAAAAGAGGGGCAAACAAGCCTTTACACCTGAACAGAAAATTTCTGAGAAAAGACCAAGCCTTGCGTTTTATCTGGGCTTATCTATCCTCTCTTGCCTGTGAGGTGGGGGCTGTCCATGTGACTGTCCCGGGAGTCCGGCCTGGGGTCAAAGCCTGACAGACTGGCTTTGTTAGAAATCCTGCTGATGTGCGGTTCTCTTTAGGACCTGTTTGTATTCTGTTGATAAGAAATCTGCTCAAGTGGAAGAGCACATATTTGTTCTTTAAAAAAAAAAAAAAAGAAAATATGCCCAAGGGACTAGAGAGATAGATGCTTGCATGGCATGCAGAGACCTTAGTCCTATCCCTGGTACTACACAGGATTTCCAGAGCACTGCCAGGAGTGATCCCAGACCACTGCTAGGTTTGGCCCAACACCCGCCTAGTCCTTTTAAAAACTTTCTGCTCAGCATCTGGGCCTCATCTCTGGGAACAGAATTCTGCTGAGACCTCTTGTAGTACCATGCACAGGGGTTTGTGGCCCCACCGTGAATCCCTGAAATCTATTGGGACTTCTGAATTTGTGTTTGAGAGCAAGTAATTTGTTGAACAGTGGCATTTATTTTTTATTTAAAAATTCTTATTCTATTAAAGCACCATGACTTACAAAGTTTTGATAGTTGAGTTTTAGACACAGAACATTCTGGCCCCAATCCTTCCAGAGGTCTCAAGTTCCCTGATTGCCTCTGCAGCCTCCAGTCTGCTATCTTGACAGGCACATTATAAAGTTTGGATCTTATAGTGGTTTATTTTCTGGGTAGGGGAGTGGGGCACACCTGTCGTTGCTCGAGGGTTATTCCTGACTCTGTGCTAAGAGATCATTCCTGGAGGTGCTGAGGGACCATATAGGATGCCAGGGATCAAACCCAGGTTGGCTACATGCAAGGCAGGTTTCCTACCAATCGTACTATATCACTCCTGCCACTACAGTGGCATTTTAAAACTATCACTCCTTAGCCTCCTGATTGCCCTCCAATACCCATCTGTATAGGTCAAGCATTGACACTGAACATCAGCAGACTGCTTCGTATCAGGGAACAAAGTGCCTATAGCAGGAGTTTTCTCTAAAAACAGTGGCTACGGGGAGAGGAAAGGGAGCCCTAGGCCGGCCTGAAGCCTGCCCTCTGAAAGATCAGTCCCTGGGCTGCTGTTAACCAGAGACAGGTCAAAAACAGCTGGGCACTCCAGGGGCCCGAGACTTTGGGCACGTTTGTCCCCAGAACTATGACGAATCTTCCAAGTCTGCAGGTGCTTGACTCCCAGGTCTGGCCAGTCCTCCCCCCTTGTCTTCGGGCATTTCCAAAAGCCTAAGGAAGAGAATTGACTGGAGAACAACTCAGCTCCAGTAACCCAAATCCGCTAGTTCGCCTCGCTGCCAAGGTGCTAAAAAAAACATGGGAATTTGTCGTCGCGCACGCGTGACACTTGCTATCACCGGGAAGCTCTTGGGCTGAACACTGCAGTCATTCATAAATGACAAATGACATAGAAATATTAGTTTGGTTTTCAGGCCTCCAACGGTGCTGGGGGGAGGGGGTCACTAGACCCCTTCTACCAGAGGTGCTTGCGAGGTCACGCGAGACCGGAAGCTCCGGGGCCCGCGACGGCCCGGCCCCGCGCCCCAGGTCCCAGGCCCCGCGTCGCGGCGCGCGTTTCCGACAGCGCCGACGTGGCTCGTCGGGAGCGCGCAGGCGCCCGGGCGCGGTGACCGTCAGACCGGTGCGGTCCGAATGCTTCTTCCCGGCCTCTCTGCTTGGCATCCGCTGTCCGTGTCCGAAAGCAGGGTCCGGCTAGCTAGGTGCGGGGAAGCGGGAAGTGTTGCATCGGGGTAGGGGTCGCGGGTGGACGCGGGGAAAGCCGGTTCGCCACCTCGGGGCGGGGCGTGCCCGGGAACTGGCGGCGGGGGAGGTCTGCGCGTGCGCGCTAGAAGTCCCGCCCCCGGCGAGCGGCTGCTCACGTGATGAAGGGGCGGGGCCGACAGCTCCCGGGCCGGGCGGGTCGGGAAGTGCTGGACCTGCGGCGACGCCCGCTGCAGCATGACCGAGTTCTACGGAGGCGTCGAGGGGTGAGTGCGGCCGGGTGGAGAGAGTCCCCGAGGGGCGGCTTGGCCCGATGGCGCGGTCAGAGGAAGGTGCCATCCGGCTCGCGCTGCAGTCATTTTATTTTGCACTGCGGGGCTTGCATAGCAGGAGTAGGGGGGGCGTGTGTGCCCCGCGGGTGGCCTCGCGCCGCGGCCACTTTGCATTACGGGGCTTGCACAGGGAGTGGTTTGTGTGTGTGTGTGTGTGTGTGTGTGTGTGTGTGTGTGTGTGCGCGCGCGCGCGCGCGCAGCAGGCCACTTTGCACTGCGGGGCTTGCATAGGGGGTGTGGGGGGGAGGGTCTGTCCCGCAGGTGGCCCTTAGTGCGGGGGCTTTTGCCTTCCAGGATTTCCGAGCTTGTCACACCCCAAGGGGAGGTCTTTGTAGTTCACTGTGAAGACACACATCTACACCTCATACAAGGAAAAGAAGTCCCTTTCTCTCCTATTTTCCATCGTTCTGATCGTTTTGCCGAACGTGTGTCATGAGTAGGGATGCCGGGCGCAGCGGGAACTTGGAGCAAGATCTTTTCCTGAGGAGTTCTGGGAGCTGGGTGCTGCAGGCTGACTGGTCATCTCTCTCCACATACCCCCTTTCCCCACCCTCCCACTCCCGCTCCCCTCTGCACTTGAGGCTCCGGAGCCTGCTGTCTACCTAGTTTTTCTCACGTTTTAACCTGCTCAGAAGCCTGTGTACTGGACTTCTTTCTTACAACTACGTACTACTGCATGGCTGCGGGGCAAGACCTTTGCACTATGGTTTTCACTGACTTATATGTGTGAAGTTAGAGAATGAAGGATCCCGTTGCCTAGTCTCATTCGGTGACTACATGGTGTGCATCTGAGTGTGCCTGGTCATCGTAGTGGATGGCTGTGGCCTCCACCTGACCACTTACTTTGGAATTTGAGATCTGATTCACTTCTTTGGCAGCCACATCCCAGGTGTGGGTTCTTGGTTATTGCCACTCCCACCTCGTGCATGGAACTCCAGAAACTTCTTTGTCTTCTTTGACTTTGGTCCCTTGGTATCCTTGAAAGTACTGATCAATAAAGACGCATACGCCCATAGCCCAGCAGACCTCCCTCCTAGCTAGCATTTACCCCCTAGTAAGCACTGGAACTCTTAGTTCCTTAAGAAGATTTATATATTCTCCCTGCCCAGTGTGTGACAGGATCCCCGTGGGTGCTTGATGTTGAAAGGCAGTTTTAGTCTAAAGAAGCAGGGGTATGCCATTCTCTCTCTCTCTCTCTCTCTCTCTCTCTCTCTCTCTCTCTCTCTCTCTCCTCCCCTTCTTCTCTCCCCTTCTCTTTCTTGCTTTTTGGGCCACATCTGGTGATGGTCAGGGTTTACTCCCGGCTCCGCACAAAGAAATTACTTCTGACGGTGCTCCAGAGACCATGTGTATTGCTGGGAATCAAACCCACATCTGTTGCATGCAAGGCAAGTTCCCTATCCAATTTACTATCACTCAGGCTTAGCTATGCCATTCTCTTTAGCTGTACTTGCTGCGTGTTGCCTCTTCCAGGCTCTGGTTGCATGAGGATGGGTGACTGATTTGACCCAATGGGGTTCATAATCTGTTGAACCCCCAACTGAAATCCCATTTGTAATACCTGAATCCTTACTAGCTATGGGGCTGAGCTTAAGGCACTGTGGGAGTGGATCAAGAGGTTTCAAGAACTCTAAGTAGCATCTTACATGATCCCCAGAGGAAGCTAAGCAAAAATTGTGTTTCAGGGGCTGGAGACATAGTACGGTAGGGCGCTTGTCTTGCACACCAGCCAATTTGGGTTCGATCCCTAGCAAACCATATAATCTCCTGAGCACCACCAGGAGTGATTCCTGAATGCAGAGCCAGGAGTAAGGACTGAGCATCCCTGGATGTGGACCAAAAACAAAATAAAAACCAAACAAGAATTTTGGTTTACTCCAACAGCATATATGGCAAACACCAAGCCACAGGACTGGGCTTGGTAACGGGCATTGGGTTTGCCCAAGCTATCTCTGTTCTGGTTTCTTCCCGTGACCAGGACTGGGCAGGGGTTCTGGTACACGGGCAGGATTTCTTGAGTGGGGCCAATTGTCCCCTTTGTGTTCCGTAGTGGGGGCACACAGTCCAAGGTACTTTTACTCTCGGAGAATGGACAAATCCTGGCAGAGGCGGATGGACTCGGCACAAACCATTGGGTAATGGCTGTTTTTTTTGGGGGGGGGCAGTGGACTTGGTTGTGGTTTAATTCTTTAACTCCAGTGGGGTGGTGGCTGGGTTTGTGGTGGGAGAACACAGGACCTACAGACCTTTGTAACTCCTCCTCCCTTTGACTGAGGCCAGTTGATCGGGGTGGACAAGTGTGTGGAGAGGATCAACGACATGGTGAGCAAGGCCAAAGAGAAAGCAGGGGTGGATCCTTTGGTACCGCTACAGAGCTTGGTGAGTCTCGGGCAGATCCTGGGGATGATGCTACGTCACTTCCCACAAGAGTGGGAGGGCTGCCAGGAGTCTTCTCGGCCTAGAAACTCATGTCTGCTCAGCCTTCTGTGAAGCTGCAGTTACCTGGGAGTCACAAGGGTGACAGGACCTCGGAGCTTTTTTCAAACTGACACCTCGGTTTGAATTCCAGCTTTCTTACCACTAGATACCAGGGATGTGTGGGGCAACTTGTCCTCCCAAACTCAATATCAGAGTTTTAGGTAGAAGAACAGTACTAGACACCAGGGAGTCCAAACACACAAAAAGTCCCAGTTTTCTCACTTATTATCTGTGGAACCCTCAGCACACCACTTCCTGGGCCTCTGTTTCCTCATTTGGAAATTACAGCCAACAGCGGCTGCCCCCACAGCGGTCAGGAAAGTGAAATGACATGATCTACACGAGATCTATTAGCACAGAGCCCTGACCCCAAGGTGCTCATGGAAGGTCAGCCCTCACTGTTCAATCCTGTCTCCCAAGGGGCTGTAGCTCTGGTTACTCCCTGACCATATGTGCTGTTTTTTTTTGTTGTTTTTTTTGCTTTTCTTTTTGCTTTTTGGGTCACACCCAGCGATGCTCAGGGGTTACTCCTGGTTCTGCACTCAGGAATTACTCCTGGCGGTGCTCAGGGGACCATGTGGGATGCTGGGAATAGAACCCAGGTCGGCCGCGTGCAAGGCAAGCGCCCCACCTGCTGTCCTGCTGTGCTATCTCACTCCAGCCCCCATATATGCTGTTTTATTGTTGCTGTTTTCCTTTTTTTTTTTTTTTTTTGGTTTTTGGGTCACACTCCGCATTGCACAGGGGTTCCTCCTGGCTCTGCACTCAGGTCCCTGGTGGTGTTCAAGGGACCATATGGGATTCTGGGGATCGAACCTGGGTCTGCTGTGTGCAAGACAAAACGCCCTACCTGCCGTGCTATTGCTGCAGCCTCTGTTTTCCTTTTATAAAAGTTTTTTTTTTTTAATTTTATTTACTCTTCCCTAGATGATGTTCTGAGATCTTCTGTGGGCACAGCCCATCCAGACTCATTTCTCCATCTCTCCTCTCTTTGCTCCTCTGCCTGGATTTCCGCTAAGGGCACCACGTCCTCCTAAGCTCCAAATCTCGGCTTGTCAAATTGTTGGGCTCCCCATCTGACCTTTCCCAGCTCAGGTGTTACAGCCACGGCCCTTGGAGGAGTCTGTGTGCCGTGGAAGGCAGCTGTGCCCACCTGGCAGAGACCAATGGTGGGCGGGGAGGGGGCTGGGAAGGGAGCGAGTCTGGGGCTCTGCTGACTGGCTCCCTTCCCTGGTGGCCTAGGGCCTGTCCTTGAGTGGTGGGGAGCAGCAAGAGGCAGTGAGGATACTAACCCAGGCGCTGAAGGACAGATTTCCCTCCCTGAGTAAAAGCTACTTCGTGACGAGTGACGCCGCCGGCTCCATTGCCACAGCCACGCCCGACGGTGAGGAAGTGGAGGGAGGGGTGAGGCTGAGAACCTGTCTTCTGAGGTACAGCTGGCAGATTTTGTCTGTGAGGCAAATAAACAAAGTCATATCAGCACCGCCCCCCCCCCCCCATCTACATTTATTATCTACAGCTCCTGCCAGAGCAAGGGTGGGACAGGAAGGGATAGGGGGTATCTTGGTGGGAGTCCAGGTGTGGAGTCAGTCACACCTGGACTCCTGGTCCAGAGAGATAGTACAGGGGTTAAGGCACTTGCCTTGTACAAACTTCAAATGATTGCTTTGACTTTACACATAATATTGCAGAGTAGAATATATGAGTGGAAATTTGGTGGAAAGACCCTCTGGCCCACGATCCCCTGCATGACATGTGGACCCCCAAGCACTGCCAGGAGTAATTTCTAGAGCATGGAGCCAGGAATCAGCCCTAGGCACGGCTGGGTACAGCTCCCCCAAACTAAAAAACCAACTGGGTTCCTGGGGATCAGGTGCCCCTGCGGCCATGCGGTGATGGAGGCTGTCCTGGGGGTCCCGAGAAGCGAGCAGAGAGAGCTCTGGGAGCATGTGGGAAGTCCTGGGTGGCGTGGGATGGGCACTTGGGCTTCAGTGACCTCACTGCTGCTTGTACTCGCTTGGGGAAGTTACCGGCCCTCATAGTTCCTCGTGGACCATGTGGGGCCGATGGAACCCGTGAGAGGGATCAGAGTCAGCTTAGTCCCTGGTGCAGGGGGTAAATGCAGTGAATCGAGCACTGGTAGCAGGTACGGCCCTCCGGGGCAGGCCTGGGCCTGCTTGGCTTTTCCTTGAGGCCGAACCTTCCCTGCAGGCCGAACGTGGGGTGGGAGATGGGGGGATGCCGGCTGGGCCTGGTGGAGGTTCGAATCTCTCCTCAGTTGGGAATGTGCACTCCAGGCCTGGCCCAGGCCACTGAGCTTCCGACGCCCTTTCTGCAGGTGGCATCGTGCTCATCTCTGGGACCGGCTCCAGCTGCCGGCTGGTCAACCCCGACGGCTCCGAGAGTGGCTGCGGCGGCTGGGGCCACATGATGGGGGACGAGGGCTCAGGTGAGCAGCTGAGGGACTGGATGAGAGATCTTGTCCCGTGGGGCTGGAGTGCTAGCACAGCGGGTAGGGCTTTTGCCTTGCCTGCGGCCAACCTGGGTTCGATTCCCAGAATCCCATATGGTCCCCCAAGCACCGCCAAGAGTAATTCCTGAGTGCATGAGCCAGGATTAATGCCTGTGCAACACCGGGTGTGACCCAAAAAGCACTGTAGCACTGTCCTCCGGTCGTTCATCGATTTGCTTGAGCAGGCACCAGTAGTGTCTCCATTGTGAGACTTGTTGGCATATCGCCTGTTTACTGTGTTTGGCATATCGAATACGCCACAGGGAGCTTGCCAAGCTCTGCTGTGCAGGGGGGATACTCTCAGTACCTTGCCGGGCTCTCTGAGACCCAAAAAGCAAAAAAAAAAAAAAAGAAAAGAAGAGAGAGAGAGAGAGAGAGAGAGAGAGATCTGGGCCCTTCCCTTTCTGTAGCTCCCTGTGTCACACCCCCCCCTCCGCTTTGTGCACTCATGGGCCCCTTGGGGTCCCCTTGAGACAGCTGCTGACAGAGATCTGAGCAAGGGCCCTGGCAGCTCTGAGGGAGACAGCATCAGGCTGTTGTTGGCCTTTGATGTCTCGGGGGAGGGGTTGATGCCGAAGGTTAAAGCCTCCACTTCCTGGAGAGGTCGTTCTGTGTGCGGGTGGGAGAGGGAGACTGAGGCTCCCCAGCCGTCCCCTCTGTGGGGTCCGCGTCCAACATGCAGTGTGACCCCGGGAGTGTGTGGCACCTGATTTTGTTGTCTTTATGTTTTAGATGGGCATTGATGTGACAGTCTTACCTGTTCTGCTCCCCATCCAATCTTCCTTATCTAGTCACCTGCAGTTTAATTTGTTATAGGAACCCACACCCAGTGGGGCTGGGCCCCCGGGCTCCCTTTGGGGCCTCATTTAGCCCAGCCTGTACTCTGTCATGTGAGCAGTATGCCCAGATACCGTGTGGGGAGAGCCTGTGGCTGGGAACCAGGAAACTTTTTTCGCCAAGCAGGTCTCAGTGTCCTCCCCTGACAGCTTGGGGAGAAGCCCCCTACTCCCCACCCCCGCCAACCCCTCATCTTCCTCTGCCCCCACCCCCCATAGCCTACTGGATCGCACACCAGGCCGTGAAGACTGTGTTCGACTCCATCGACAACTTGGAGGCGACTCCTTATGACATTCACTACGTCAAACAGGCCATGTTCGCCTATTTCCAGGTACTCACCCCCGCTGCCACCCGACCCAGGAAGCATGTTCGCTGGGGATACGGCACTGGGAACCCACGCAGGTGCAGGGGAGGGACTGAGAGAGGAGGAAAGTTGGGGCGAAGCCAGCACTGGAGGTGTGGGAGTCCAATGGAGACAGCACTCAGAGGGCAGCCGGGCCCTGCTGGCAGGAGCAGGAGGGCCACATTCTTGGCAGGAACAAGAAGTACAGGATGAGGTCAGAGCACTGCACGCAGACACAAGCTAGCTAGCACAGGAACTTGCAAGGTGTGCCAGACAGTGAGCTCCCCCTCTGCTGAAGAGGGGTCAGGAGGAAAGCTGGCTGGGGCAGGGCAGGGGGCCAGGAAGGCAGCGTAATGGGCTGGAGCACCTGCTTTGCATGCTAAGGCCCAGAGTTTGAGCCCTGGGAACCACATGGTGGACCACCTCGAGCACTGCCAGGTGTGACCCCTGCACATCATTGGGTGTGACTCAAAAAAGGTGAGTGGGTGAGTCTGCAGAGGGGGTGGACCCCAGAATCTACTTTCCCTTCACCTAGGCGCACTAGGGAGCCACCTGGAAAACAGCTCCCTAAGTCAAACCAGAGGGAAATGTGGGGAGAAGGCAAAGAAAGGTGGGAGACATTGAGTGAGGGTCCCTGAGTGAGCCACTTTTGGCCTGGGCCAAGGAAGGAGATTGGAAATGCTGGCAGTTAAGAATTTGCATTCTCAAGGTTGATGACAAAGGAGAAACTGGCCTGAACCACAGGGAGGATAGGGAGGGACCAGGAAGAGAAATCACTTGCTGTAGCAGCTTCCTTCTGTCAGGAGTGCAGTTAAACCAGATTGACTCAGCCTGTGGGTTCACACTGCACTGATATGCCCACCGCTTCCTCCTTCTTCAGCCCTGGCCTTCATACAGAGTTGTTGCAGGGATGAAGTGAGAATGTCTCAGAATGTAACAAGGTGATGGTCTTGCACTTGACTGTGGCTTAACACAAATTGCAGCCCCAGCTCCATGTGTTAAATCGTGATTTTAGTGCTCACATTTTTTTTTTTTGCTCCATCTCTACTTTTTTTTTCCTTTTTGGGTCACACCCGGCGATGCCTAAGAGTTACTCCTGGCTTTGAACTCAGGAATTACTCCTGGCGGGTGCTCGGGGGACCATATGGGATGCTGGGAATTGAACCCGGGTTGGCTGCATGCAAGGTAAACACCCTACCTGCTGTACTATCGCTCCAACCCCACCATCTCTACTTTTAGTCATGTTCTGGGGAAATCACTGGTTCCTCCAGACCTAGGAGTTACAGGTATATAAATTTTGGAGGCGTGGAAGAAGGTCAAATTCATTTGGAAGAGACAAATCAATTTCCTGGGTTAAGGGCTTTTCAGAGCCTTCAGTTTGCTGGTGTGCCCTGTGCCTCATTTAAGAGAGAAATGCAATGTGCAATGGACCTCAGGTCACTTTGATCCAAGAAAGCTTTACAAAAGCACCCTGAGGAACTATAGACCACACTTCGGCGAGCCCACACCTGTGCTCTGTGCTGTGTCCAAGCTAATCTGTAAGAGATAGTCGCATTTGTATTAGGGAGAACAAATACAATTTCTCAAGTGAAGAATCCCAAATCCTTGCCCCCTCTGGGGTGCACACTCATAGGCGAATAAATGTTCTCCAGTTATTCAGGGATGTCAGGAAGGCCAGCGAGGGTGGGCGGGCTCAGGATTTCCCTTTGCTTCCGATAACCATCGCGTTCCCTGTCGCTGTCTCTTAGGTGCCTGATCGCCTGGGAATCCTCACTCACTTGTACAGGGACTTTGATAAAAGCAGGTTCGCTGGGTTTTGCCAGAAAATTGCAGAAGGTAATGGGGGTAGGGCAGGCTTTATCTGACTTTGTTCCCCAAAGCCTTCTTAATGGGGTGGGGGTGGGGTTGGGGAAGGGTGCAGTGTAGAACTCTCAGAGTCAGTTTCCTTCGATCAAGTGACTGTAGTTCGCTGCCATCAGGGGCCATGGTCCTGGTGGACACTGGACAGTGGAACTGGACACGCAGGCTGTAATGCTTGACGCCCTCTGTTTTCCTTGACAACTGACCTGGCACTTTTAGGCGAGTTGTCCTGTGGGCCAATTTGAAACTTTCTAGTATTTCTTTTTTTTTTTTAGTTTTTTATTTTATTTTTATTTATTTATTTATCTTTTAATTTTTATTAGTGAAACACCATGAGGTACAGTTGTAGACTTACAAATTTTTCTGCTCTAGTTTTTCTAAAACCAGTGATACATAGAGCATCTTGGAGAGGTTAAGAATATTTAGCTGGGCATCAGGAGAAAGAGTCCTTCTAGAGCTTGTCAGGGGTGTGTGTGTGTGTGTGTGTAGATGTGCTCACTTGCTTCTACTCTATGTAGGGATGTGTGTGTGTATGGATGTACCAACCAACAGCAGACTACTGATTGTATGTGTGTATGTAGGAGATGTACTCACTTGCTTTAGCTCTATGTAGGGAAGTGTGTGTATGAATGTGTCAACCAACGGCAGACTACTGATTTTGTGTGTGTGTGTGTGTGTGTGTAGGAGATGTGCTCACTTGCTTCAACTCTGTGTAGGGATGTGTATGTATGCATGTGTCAACCAACAGCAGACTATTGAGTGTGTGTGTGTGTGTGTGTGGACGGCAGGAACACAGACTAAAGTACTTGGAGCCCCAGAACTGAGGATCTGAGCACAGACTGAATACAGACAGACTCATCCATACCAGGTGCAGGGCGCTACTCTAATGGGTGCTGCCTTTCTCAGGCACCTGAAATCACCCTCCTTACAGGATGTCCCTCGGAGGGTGGAAGTCCCTGGTCCACGGGGGGCAGTTAGGATGGAGAGGACACTTTGGATGCCACCTCAGCAAGGTGCCATGGGTGGGGGATTCTGACTTCAAGTATCTGCTTGCTTTGTTCTTGCTGGTCTGCCTCATTCACGAGGACTGGTGGTTCCCGGGTCCTCATCAGCTCTCTTCCCTATTCAGGTGCTGAGCAGGGAGATGCCCTCTCCCGCTGCATCTTCTGGAAGGCTGGGCAGATGCTGGGCAAACACATTGTGGCCGTGTTGCCCGAGATTGACCCGGTGAGTAGGAGGTGAAGGCCGGCAGCCGTGGGGTTCTTGTCGGGATGGAACTGTCCCACCCAGCTGTCGACTGGATGCTTAAATAAATGAACATAGGCACGAGAATCATTCCATACCAAGGCTGTCACATAAAGTTCTCTGAGGTCAGCTCAAAGGAATCCAACACACACTTTCCGTGCGGTTCAGTCCCCAGGCCCCCAAGGTCGCCCGAGCACCCAGTTGAGAGCACTGTCAGGTGTGTCCCAAAAACAAGAAAAAAAAGTTCTTTGGTGCAGTGCCTCTCCTCTCCGATGGGCCCTTTGTCTTTGTTATTGGGTTCTGTGTTCAGGATCACTCCTGGCTGTGCATGGGAACCATTAGTGGTGCTGGGACTCAAATCAGGGTCCACCACATGCAAGCAGGCACCTCAATCCCTGTGCTCTCTCTCCAACCCCTGACTCTTTGGTTCAGTGTTGGACACTGATGTCCCGTACGTCACAGGCATGTTTCTGTTCATTTCCCTCCATTCTTGCTTATTCTTTTGTATTGTTGCTTAACCCTTTTCCCTCTTCTCTACTTTGTGAATCTAATCTGTCTTCCTCCTTTTGTTCTTGAGCCCACCTTCTAGTTCTTCACTAGAGGAGAGTAACTAGGATAAGGTGAGCTGCTCTTAAGAAGTGATCCACTTTGGACCGGGCTGAGAGCTCAATGGGCTGAGCATCTCCTTTGCATGTGGGAGGCCCAGGTTTGATCTGCTGCACTGTATGGTCCCCTGAGCACCACTGGGAGCAACCCTCAAGCACCAGCAGGCCACTGGGTGAGGCTTGCTTGCCCCAATATCCATCTCTGCTCTCTGCCCAGGTCTTATTCCAAGGAGAGCTGGGCCTCCCCATCCTGTGTGTGGGCTCCGTGTGGAAAAGTTGGGAGTTGCTGAAGGAAGGTAAGTAGGGGAGGAAAGGATGGGCATGGACAGGGATGTGCCCTCAGTGAGGGGCTGGAGCGATAGCACAGCAGGTAGGGCGTTTGTCTTGCACGCGGCTGACCTGGGTTTAATTCCCAGTATCCTATATGGTCCCGCGAGCACTGCCAGGAGTAATTCCTGAGTGCTCAGCCAGGAGTAACCCCTGTGCATTGCCGGGTGTGACCCAAAAAGAAAAAAAACAACACCACTGTGCCAGGGACTTCTTTACACTGTCCCAGTGAGACTCTCTGAACCCATCAGCGACATGTTCTTCCTCAGGGATCAGGGGAGAAGGCTCAAAGAGTGGGCTCCATGCGGGAACCCTTGGCACCCAAGGTCCGTCAGCACCACTGATGGCAGAAACAAAAACACACCACCACACCTTGTTCTTTTCCAAAGAATTTATGAAATGAGCATCATTTAAAAAGAGATTAAAGGTAGATGACTTTAAAACCAGGAGTTTGTGACTAGTGTGTGACAAACATCCCTGTCAGCACAGCCAGAACCACGTGCCACCACTTCCTGGCAGCCTCATTGTGGGGGGCATGTTCTCTCTTAGGCACTGCAGAAACCCCCTCAGCACCCCAGGGTCCCAGCATTGGGTGCTGGGGAGCTGCTGACTCGAGGACCCCACAACCATTCCTGGGCTCGTGTCTGCTGGGGAGTTGGCCTGTGTGTCCCTCCAGGAGCACACAGCAGTGACTCAATGACTCCCTCCCTCTGTGCCCCCCTCCCCTCCCCCCACCGTCAGCTGCTGCTCCCCCTCTCACTTGTGCCCTCTGCGTTCTTTCCCTCCAGGTTTCCTGTCAGCGCTGATGCAGGGCAGAGAGAGCCAGGCCCAGAATTCCTTCTCTAGCTTTACACTGATGAAGCTATGCCACTCATCTGCCCTGGGCAGCGCCAGTCTCGGTGCCAAGCACATCGGGCACCGCCTCCCCCTGGACTACAAGGTCAATGCCACTGCCTTCTACTCTTACACTTTCTCCTAGGGGCTGGCCCTGGCCCCCCTGCCCACTCCCTCCAAGTCTTCAGGGGGGTTGAAAACAGAAGGAAATAAACGCACTTTATCCACTCCCCTGTTGGGTCATGTTCTCAGCTGCTGGCTGGTATCCCAGAGGGTTCAGGATTGGCTTCAGTCGGAGGTTTGAAGTGTCTCCTAGGTGTTTGGCCCGTGGCCTGCGGTGTGCTGGAGAGTGGCTCGTCTTGCCTGCTCCCTAAGGTGTATAATATGCTCTGTAGCAGCTGGCTTGTGAGGAAGTGGATCAGGGTCTCTGTGTGTGGCTCCACTTCCTGTGAAACTGAGTTTTCTCTATATAGGCCAGCACCAGGAAGAATTTCAGGCAGACCATACTATCTCCATGGCCCCAGTAGGATGTAGGGGCAGGATGCATTCTAGCCGGGGTGAAGTTTGTTTTGGGGCCACACTCAGAAATGCTCAGGTCTTACTTCTAGAGGGGCTTTGGGGACTATATAGGATACTGGGGACAGAACCTGAGTCCTGAGTCAACTGCATGCAAGGCGAATGCCTTGCCCCCCCTCCCTCCCCCACTGTACTATGACTCTGGGCCCCTGGGTGAAGTTTTACCTAGTTGGATTTGGTACTTACAAAATATCCCCCAGAAATGAATTTTTCTTTTCTTTTCGGGTCACACCCTGCGATGCACAGGAGTTACTCCTGGTTCATGCACTCAGGAATTACTCCTGGTGGTGCTCGGGGGACCATATGGGATGCTGGGAATCGAACCTAGGTTGGCTGCGCGCAAGGCAAACGCCCTACCCACTGTGCTATTGCTCCAGCCCCTAGAAATGAATTCTTGAGATCATGAAGCTGTCTGAGATCCAAGAGGTTTCAACTGGTTCCGACTAGGTCCTGTCCCTGGCAACCAGTAGCCTGGCTCCCTTAAGTGTGGCCCTGTGTGGGACCAGGAGTGCACATCAGTGAAGGGCAGACATGATGATTCTTCTAGAAACTGTAGTTTGATTAGTAAAAGCAAATTTAAAGCTTTCTGTTGTGTCGACGTGACTGTGTAGTGAAAACCAGAATATTGATCCAAAGTGGCTGATCCAAATCTCTTCCAGTGTTCTGAGGAGCAGCTCTTAGGCTTGTAGCATGCCCTGGATATCAGTGAGTCCGTGAGCCTGTAATAATGTCTGCTCTGCCTCTGTAAGGTATCCCATTCAGTAGGTCAGTGATGAATAGGGAATGTTCACTGCTACTTGCTTCCTTGGGCAGCTTCTGCCACAGAGGTCCAGGAACAGCCCTTGAGAGAACACTCTCCCTAGCTTTCACTGTAAATCTGACTCAATGAGAGGTTTTGGATGCGTATTTCTGAAGTCAGAAGACACTATTCATTCACTGGCAGCTGCTTGAATCCCATGAGCCATCAATGGAACTGAACCCCAGCACAAGACACTGGAGCTTTTGAGCAATAAATTTTAGCAGAGTACTTTGAAGGGATGGTCCCCCATCATTATATCCAGTTGTGTCCCATACATGGTACCTGGCTCTCAAATCCATGTCTCCTGGTAAAAGTTTGTGAAGCAGATGTATTTTGTTGTATCCCATAGTCTTACTGTTTTGAATGAGCCATGAGCTTTTTGGGGGGGGCCACACCCAGTGGTACTCAGGATGACTCTTGGCTGTTTGGGATTCCCTCCTGGCAGTGCTCGGACTTGTGCTGGGAATGGAACTGGGCCTCCTGCGTACACAACCTGCACTCAGCCTGGAGAGCTCTCTCTGGTGATCACAGAACCAGGACCAAGTCTTGCTTTAGAATAAAAAACTATTGGTGAGACACTTGACAAACCTACTTTGAGGCTCTGGTCATCACCCTTCTAGTATTCAAGGGGTTATTATTCCAATTTGGACAATAGGAGTTTTAGAGCAGGGCAAAAACATTATGGGGCCAGAACAATAGCACAGGAGGTAGGGTGTTTGCCTTGCATGCGGCCAATGCAGGTTCGAGCCCTGGCATCCCATATGGTCCCCTGCACAATACCCGTAGGAATTCCTGAGTGCAGAGCCCAAGCATTGCCGTATGACCCAAAAGCCTAAAGAAAAAACAAAAAAGCCCAAAACTTGTGTTCTGGCACATAAATGTTGGTTGGAAGAAATGTGGGTCAGAAAGATACAGGGATTAAGGTGCACGTGGTCAGCCCTGGCTGATTCCCAGCACCATACAATTCCTCAGCACTGTGAGGGTAGTCCAGTTAATTCCTGACATGGCAGGGCCCAAGCAGCACCGGCATCCTTGTATCCTTGTATCTTGAGCCCTCACATTGAACTGCTGGCTAGGTAGGCCAAGAACCACTTGGGGAGGGGTTGGGAAAGCCTCCCAACGGCCCTAAGCAAAATTTGGGATTAAAAAAAGGAAAGAAATGAAGGTACAAGGTTAGCTGGTTCTTTAGCCAAAGGCAACATGATGAGGTAGCTTATTCTCCAATTAGCAAGGCCCTATTACACAGAGTTTATAGTGCAGAAAAGTCATTATCATTTTTTTGTTTCTTCCCCTTCAATTTTAAATTCGTATTCTCCCTAATAAATTGTCAGGCATAATTTTTGGGACTCTGTACTGCCCATGCATTGGATATGAATATATATATATGTATATAATTTCCTCAGCCTATGCAGCCTTGTGACAAGCAAACTAGGAATAAGGACTGGATTCCAAAAAGACCAAATCTGTTTATGTGCCTATGTGATCTCATGAATAGCACAGCCTCATCTGTACCACTCATTATGTTGAGTGCATGTTGTTCAGAGGCAATTCTAACGATTAAAAATTAGTACATCCTTATTTATACCAACTGAAATTTGATGACAAATGATAAAACTACAGATTTACAGTATGTGTTTTCCTCACACTTGAGTTACGTTTAATGAAATTTAAAAAGTGAATGTACCAGTCATTTCAAGGTTTAACATGCACACACACACACACATAGAGTTCAGGTGCTTTATATACATAACTCAGTTTAGATCCTCTCCCATACTCTTCCTTTTTTTTTTTTCCTTTATTTTATTTTTTTTAAAGTTGTAGATTTACAATTTTTTGTGCTTTGGTTTCAATCATACAATGATCAGATACCCATCCCTCCACCAGTGCCCATCTTCCACCACCATGGATAATATCCCTCCCACCCCCATCCCCCCATCCCCCCTGTCTCTGTGGCAGGGCAATCCCCTGTGTTCTCTCTCTCCTTTTGGGTGTTGTGGTCTGCAAAAGAGGCATTGAGTGGCAAACATGTTCAGTCCATAGTCTACTTTCGACATGCATCTCCCCTCCTGGGAGGATCCTCCAAACATCCTTTATTTGGTGCTCCCTTCTCTATCTGAGCTGCCCCCATACTCTCCTTTTTAAAGGGATAAAGAAATGACAGTGCTCAAAGCACTCATCCATGTTCCATGATCTTTTCCCACATGACAGATCCCCTCCAGGTCCACTCCAGGAATCTTGGAGTGAAGCTAGGTGTAAATTGGGTATGAATGAATCACTTAATCCCAACTCCAGGGACCATATCTGCTTGTTAATCCAGTAGATCTGGTACCCGGGACAGTGCTTGGTCAGTTGCAGGCTCTCAGGTTTGTTCAGTAGTTGAGAGATACAGACTCTCAACTTGTTGGGAGATCAGTTTTGCCCAGAAATTAGAAAACTAATTGTTTTCCTTTGTGTACAAGGATTTTTTTTTTCCTTCTGGGTTTTGGGCCACATCCAGCAGTTCTCAGGACTTACTCCTGGCTCTGAGCTCAGGGGGTTGCTCTTAATAAGCTCAGGAGATCCTATGGGGTACACCAAGGATCGAATCCAGGTTGACCACACGCAAGGCAAGTACCCTACCCACTGTACTATCTCTCTGGCCCAAGATTTCCTCTTAAACCATCACATTATTCAAAGATGTATGTATTAATGCCTCCATAACTACACTGAGCCTATAATGTGCCAGGCAAGAATTCTGATGTTAAATTTGGTCTGGAGAGATAGCACAGCGGGTAGGCGTTTGCCTTGCACGCGCCCGACTCGGGTTTGATTCCCAGCATCCCATATGGTCCCCTTAGCACCGCCAGGAGTAACTCCTGAGTGCAGAGCCAGGAGTAACCCTTGTGCATCGCCGGGTGTGACCCAAAAAGGAAAAAAAAATTGGTCTAATTTCCAGAATAGCCCCAGGTGGAGAGTGCCACTTCTTTTGAAATAATCAAGGTCAGAACAAAGGCACAAAGAACGTGGGTGGCAGTGGGACTCAATCAAGTCTGTGACTTCCAGACCGGTTTTATTAGACTGTAATACTACTTAGAACAGAAAATTGTGCAACTAAAACTGATCCTGACTCAAGTTCTCTCATAAATGTGCCTCACACATACCTTGTATAATATATGACCCATCACAGGAAAAAAGGAGACCACTTAGAGCATTTATTTCTCATTTTATTGAGATTTCCAACAGCTGCCATTTGGTGTGTATAGCAAAATTTGTTCAAAAAGTACCCGCCCCCCCGCCACTTTTGGTTATTTTTATGAAAATTTCTTCATTTAAAGTCCTAGCCCCTCCCAAGGAAGTATTAATAACTACCATGTAATATTAGGAAAAAAACCCTTTAAACCCTTGTGAAACAGGGACAGAGGTCCAAAGTCAAGACTTGAGCCTCCTGGAGGTGCTATGCTCTCAGGTGCCATCAGCACACACCCATCCTTCTCTCCAGTTGAAGAGTGGGTCATGCTTAGACCCCCGGGGCACTTCTTATTCCACGAATGCCACTCCCATTCCCTTTCTCTGCCTAACTCACTACTGGCTTCCTGCTTCCTGCCAACACCAGGTGAACAAAGGCAGTCCCACTGTGAACACATGATCATCAAGCACAGTAATGGGGATGAAACTGTATTTAGTAAGTCAGGCAGAGAGGGGCGAAATACTCAGCATTGCATGTGACTGTTCTCTCTTGTCCTGATGAACAGGTAGCACAAAAATTCCTTATAAAAAAGTTGCAAAATTAAAAAAAAAAATTCTGCAGCAGCCCAACCATGAGTGAGAAGCTTTTGAGGGCAAGGCTGGTTCTGAGGGAGGATGTGCTCGGCAGCTTTCCCTGTGAGTTCTGTGTTCTAAGGGATTCACTGAAACCACAGGAGGATGAAAGATTCAAGTTTAAAAGGCTCCCTAGGACAAAAAAAAAAAACCCGGCATGCCCATCAATGACAAACGATTCCTTAAGAAGGAACAAGCTACTAGCACAAGTTCTATGTCATGGATGAATCTCAATAACGTTTTTAAAAAATTAAAACCACACACACACACATAACAGAAACAAGAAACTATTTACTGGGTGACTCCATTACTATGATGTTCAGAAAAAGCAAATTTAGACAGATTAGTGGTTACTTTGACTGTGAACAGAGATTATCATGTAAACAGGCATGAAGGCTCAAACTGAGAAGGATGAAAAGTTCTGAGTCATGGTTATGGAGACACCAGGAAAGTTATTAAAACTGCTGAACTACACACCTGAAACAGGCGGAATCTTATATGCAAAATAAATCTCAAGCTGTTAAAAGACTTCTGCATTAAACATCCCTGCAGGCTCACAATAGGACACATTTTCCTTTAGGGTTGAATTACAGAATGAAAACATGTATTTTCTCATATGCACGTTCTGGAAATGTAAAATAGTTAAAAAAATTACAAATATCTCAGTGTTTTGGTTTGTGTATAATATTTATGTAGAATGTTTATTCATTATTTAAATTAAAAGGTAACCAACAATAAGGCAGGAAATTTCAGCAAATGTTGAAATGCCAAATCACAATAAAATCTAAAGGGGCTTTTCCTTTTGGAACAAAGACGATGCATCCATTCCTTTGCAGATTTCTCTTCCATCCTGTGGCTGGCGGTGGTGTCATGGCTGACACCCTGGAAAGAACAGTGTACTCAGCCATCTCATTCCCATAAAAGAAAAAAGAAAAAACACCAAAAAAGAAAAAACTCATACAAACTAGACTGGGAACAACAGTAGGGAGCTGGGTGGTGAAGGCAGAAGGCTGGGAGCAGGCAGGAAACTAGAGTGTCTCTTTGAGTTAGTGTGTAATTCTGTCTCTTGTCATAACTGCAGCCTCTAAATGAAAGGCTGCAGATAAAAAAAACCTTCTAGATGTGACTAGCCCCAGTCTGAACGGAATTCACAAGGTAGCAAGTGGGACCAGAGAACTAGCAGAACTGACCTTATTGGAGGGTGACTCAAAAAGCTGAGAAAAGAAAGAGCAGAGCATGGGGCCTTCTAAACTATAGGTCTGGGCCAGTCCTATTCTCTCTACCCAGGCTTAGGAGTTTCTTTCCGAGGAGAAAATGCACAAGTTTTCCCTCTAGATGGACATCTTCGAATCTTGTCACACTGTCTGGTCTTTGCCTGCTCCCACTGCTCAATACCACAAAAACTGAGAAACACTATTAATCTGTTACCAAAGAGCATCTGCCCTTCTCTGGGCACAGCAGGCTGGGTATGGAGTGTGCAGCAACACTACAGCAGAAATATTCAATTGTCTCCCTTGGTGCTTGCTTCAGACAACTTTGCTGAAAAATGTAAACTGTCAAGAACATCCAACTGACCTTTCTACTTCTGCAAAATCAAGGCAAAACATTGGTATTATTGTGATGTACAATTTGAAAAATAGTGTTTCATTAGAAATATTTTTTTCTTTTTTTGTTTCTGGACCACACCCAGTGGTACTCAAAGATCACTCCTGGTGGTGCTCAGGAGAACATATGAGCTAAGAAACTGGGTGAGCCATGTGCAAGGCTGTACTATTCTCACTAGCCCTAACAATATTTTCTTAAGTCAGTTATGATTATAACGAATTAAAGAGACTGCCATTATTCTGAATTTGGAAACTAAAGGTGATGTCAAAGTTTGCCTTGACTTAAAGACCCAAGCAATAAGGTTTTTTTTTTTTTTTTTTTTTTTTTTGCGGCAGTTCAAAGGCATGAAGAAACTAAAATGGATTTGAGAATCCTCTTGAGAATAAGAGAGAAAAATAATTTTCACCTTGGAATTTGTGTCAAATAATCATGAAAACTAGGAATCAATCACCAATAAATTAACACTTGGACCAGCCAGAATGAACAACTGTTAAAATACACGTTGTTTGTAAACAACTGTTAGTTAAAATAAGTTTGACCAGAGTAGTGGCTTAAGTTCACATCAAATATGTTACTTATAAATCATTAAAGTTGTGCTACCTGCTTATACATAGGCTCCCAATGTTTACCTAGTTTTCACTAGTCCACAAAATGTAGGGTTTTTATGCTAAGAAGTAGCAAGCTCTAACCATTGCTGAACCCATGCAACCTATGTAACAAATGCAAGCACCTCACATATAATAGGTGGGGAAGGAACTGGGCTGTAAGAGGAACTATTGGGAGCACAAACCTACAGTATAGTAAAAAATGGCTCACATTCACTGCTAACTGCTTCCCAGTCCTGAAGTCAGTACACTGTGTCTGAATGGAGCCTTCAGTTCTACTGCTCACCCGGAAGGAAGCTCTCTTAATCCTGCCCAAATACGCCTTGTAGATCACACTGAAAATAGACGCACAATGAAACCGCAAAGCAAGACAAGCCCCTTGGACTGCACCTAGCATCTTAGCCTGTCGTTGGGTCAGAGGAATAAATCGTCTTCAAAAATGAAGAAATGACTCAATCTGGATCCAGTAGGACTTTCCAGACCAGATGCCAAACAAGAATCTTCTGTGCTCTGTGAAGACAATGGTCTAGAAAATGGCTCCACTGGAAATCCCTGCAGTCTCCAGGATTCTGAATGTATACCAGCTAATGGAGACTGCCAGAGGAAAAGCAGAAGAGAGGACCCCTGTTTCTGTACTCCCAAGGCCTAAGTCCCTTAGTACAGGTAACAATCTAGGGGACACTCAAAGAAGTTCCTTTATTTGTGGCCCTCCCTGAAAAAAAGTTCCATTCTCTGGAGGTAGAGGCTTTGGGAATTAATGTGCACACAATACAAGCAACAATACAACTCTCCAAACTACTCTCCTACTAGTTGCAACTTAACATGCTCCTTTCAAATGATATCATCCTATGCTCAAATGAGGAAAGTTGAGGTTCATGTTTTAAATCTGAGATTCGCCTGTGGGTGTTCCAAAAGTTAACAAGGGCATGCATAAGGAAAAACCAAATTAAGTTTTTCCAATCCCAGTCCTCTCCTCCCACTGTCCCACATCCACATACTGACTTTATTTCAAGTGCCATGGTCTTTTCCTAACAGGCCGCCACTGTCTTCCTCGGGCCTCTGAAATTCCCTGTCCTTGGAGAATGGCCAGGACTGGATACATATTCTTTTCCATGACTCTGTCCTTTAACATCTGTCTCACAAGGAGAGTTCCTAGTGTCCAGTTCAGTTCCTTATGATTATCAACAAATCCCCCAGCTCCACCCACAGAAAATTACAGGCAGGAAGGGATAATGAGAACATACTCAGAAAACACCCACCAAAAAACCTGCAAATATGGGTGTGTGCCAATGCCAATATCCTACAATTGCTGAAACTATTCCAGTGAGGCCCAGTCATCTGGGTCAATCTCAGGACTCACTGGTCTTTTTTTTCCCTCACTTCTCTTAGGGTTATTTTGCATAATCATGTATGGTGAGGAGAAGCACTCAAGTTGTGAACTGAACTACTTGCTAGTGTCCTGAAAAATGATTTACTTGCAAAGGGCATAATCCTTTCTAAGAATTAAGATACCAGGACTAAGTGTTCATGGGATAGAAAGAAAAAAAATTGTCAAAATAAACTTAAGACACAATGAATGAGGATGAACAATTCAAGGACGACCTCTCCAGGTATAGGATGACTGCCAGCCTAGCATGCCTTTCGTGAACCTTTGGTAACATATCTCTTCTGAAAAACAAAGTGGGGTGGGCAGGACAGAGGGGACTACACACAAGGGGATAAAGTGACAGGTCAACTTTAGTGTTTTTTTAAACTTGCAGTGATGATGGTAGATGTAACAGAGGCTGAACAGAAGGCAAACAGTAGCTGAACGACAGGTGACAGTAACATTTTAGACCTCCAATAAACCATTAAAGATGAATTGTAAACCAGTTCTTTAAGTCTGTGTTTTCTTGAACGGATTCAGGCCGGGAGTCAAGGACACAGCAGGCTACCAGTAACCCCCATTCACCGCAGGAAAGCCCGGAAGCAGAGCTTCACGCTTTGGCTTGCAACACCTGCTTCTCCCACGTGTCTCTCTTCCTATCCAGCTTAAGTAGACTCGTAAGTAGTTATCCAGGTGTCCACTGCCCCTGGGACTTGTACAGCAGGACGAGCAGGGCATTTCTTAAACACCCAGATTTTCTTGGTCAACTTATTTTTAAAAACATACAGCAGAAAAATTCTGATGAAGGGGAAAAAAAAAAGATTGCCAATTCCTTAACTCAGAGATGTCGACAACAACGACAACAGGAAACTGCTCCAAATGACTATGGAGAACAAAAGAGAAATACGCAGACGTTTGTCCAGTAAGACTGAGCACATTAGTTCCTCCAGTCGCAATGTCAAGTTAAACCACTGTTCCCCATTCCCGCTGTGCACCCTTCACCCACCCCACCCCCTCTGCAACGCTGCCTTTTTGTGTAGCTTTGTCCCCAGATGTGAGGACATACAAGTCTCTCGCAAAACTCTCTGTTAGCTCAGTACTTCACGCCTGGAATAAATTCCTTCGCATCTGGGTTCAGGTTACTTTTGTTCTGAAATGAGAATAAAGAGACAGTAAATCCAAAGCAAGCTGCACTTTAAAGCTTACTATATGTCTGCTTCTGTTACTCCCAGTACATATTTATCAAGTTCAAGGAGAGGGAGAAAAGCAGAATGCCTTGCAACTCAGGCCGTTACTGCTGGGCTGCTCTCCAAAGCTCCTAATATACTAAGTCCTGACTACTCCCTCATTTCTTCTTTCCTGCTTTAGAATCCTGTTCCCTTCATAATGTTTTCATAAGAGGCTTGCAAGTTCGGCCCAAAAAAGAAATTTTTTTATTCACTGAGTACCTTAACACAATGAAAACCAGACTATTCCAATCAAAACAGTTTGGTTATCACTATCCTGATTAAAAAATTTAAAAAATATTTATTTCTGAACTCTCTTTGATATCTAAGTTTGCTGTGAACATTTAAAACCTTAGTGAACTTCAGGGTCAGTGATTCAGAACAGGAATAATATGAGAACTACACCATTCAGAATTCTGACACTAAATATGGAAGACAGGGAATTCATTTATCATATTTTTCTAATTATATATGGAAAGCAACCTCTTAAGGAGTATGTTACTTCCAAAACTCAGTTTTCTGTTATATTAGCATTATTCAGAACTACCAAGACAGGTTGAGGGAGAGTAAATGGAAAAGAAAGCAGCATTTTGTTTTGCCACACCAGGGAACCCATGGTCTCATACATGTAAGTACTCTACCACTGAACCTTATCCCTGACCTTAGCAAATGATAATTTAAAACCAAACTTCTTCTGGGGCTGGAGTTATAGTACTGTGGGTACAGCATTAGCCTTGTGTGTGGCTGATCTGGTTTTAGATCCCCATAACCCCATATGGTCCCCTGAGCCTGCCAGGAGCAATCCCTGAGCACAGAGTCAGGAGTCAGCCCTGAGCACTGCTGGGTGTGCCCCAAAAGCATAATAGTAATAGAAACAGAACAAAATAAAACAAAACCAACAATCAAACCTCTTCTATGCTCCATTTTTTTTTTGGTTTCATTTTTGGGTCACACCCAATAGTGCTCAGGAGACCACACATTTGGACCAAGAATCCAAACCAGGGTTGGTGGGATACAAACCAAGCGCCTTAACCTTCGTTCTCCTTAGCCTGTGTTTACATTTTTATTTTTAATGCTGATTATACTTTGAAAAGCCCACAGGGGAAAATAAAAGTTGGTGAAACTGCAGTGATGTTTTCACAGTGATTTATGAGGGTGCTGCAGCATCAATGTCTCCCTTCATTAATGGCGGGGCGGGAGGGGGGAGGAGTGGGAACAACAGCAGCTCAGAGGACTCCCAAAGCGGCAGGACTGGAAAGCTGAGCCTGACTCAAACCCCGTATCACATGTGGAACCAGGTACAGTTCTTACCAAAATCTCTTCAGAATCGTGGCCCTCACTGATAGACAGTCCATTTAACTGTTGCTGCAGCTGTCCCATGGCCTGCGGCAGGTCCCGTGAAGGAATAAACCAGTCTTGGTCTTCTTCATCCAACATCTCCTGGAAGCAACGGTCCAAAAACTCTTGCTCCTGAAGCTCCTCTTCCACCTAACAAGCACAAGTGAGCAGTTCAGACCCGCTCTTCCAGGTGATATACCCTTCCTCTACCTCTGTGCACAGGTGATTCCTTGCCATTAAAAGTGAACTTGTAGGAGTCTAAGATGTTCCTTCTAATGACGGGCTAGAGAAAATATAATTACTATTGTTTTTAATTCAACGATAGGACTGAGGAAACAGTTGTACAATATAGCAAAAGGCGTGGTTTTCAAACCCCTGTTCTCACCTGAAAAGTTTTGTTTCTCTTATTTCCACTCTGGAGAAGCCTGTGTTCTCACTCGAACATGTACTTTTCCCTTTCTTTCCTCTCCACATCTTTCTAAATAAGTTTCAATAAAAAACTTTCTTGCTTCACACACACAAGTACACACACACACACCACACACACACACACACACACACAAAGAAGCAAGAACTGCGGGTGTTTGCATATCTTCTGTGATCCAATTTTTCCTATTCATATGGCACATATGAAAATCATTTTAGCTCTTGAAGCTCATTTTTCAGTCTTCTCTTAAAATTCCCGTTTTATAAATATTAAAAAAAATATAAAGGAACTATGTAACTGGATCACTACCTGGAAGTGGAGAATAAATCAAAACCAATTCAGTTTTTGGCCCACTTTTTTGGTAATGAAACCCCTATAGTGAAAAAAATACTTTCAGGATCTTAGGAAGACATAAAGAATACCAGTTTGGCATACCACTTAAAAATGATGTTACAGGTCAATTATTCTTTTCAAATAAAGAAGAAATCTGAGTATTTAAATAACTCAGAACTAAATCCAAAATTAAAGCAGTGTTCTAGGGTATTTCTTTGTGGACACTATTAACTCTTAATAAAATTCCCACTGTGCTCTGAAGTGTAATTTGAATAGGTTTCTTTCCCTTGCTGCAGGTCACCTGGTAACTTACAACATTCACTTGTATTGCCACCACAGATCAACAAAAATAACCAATGGAAACCCAAAAGTTAACCTCATTAACTCAGAGTAAAAGTCACTGGTACCATGACTTAAGTTTTTCAACACTGCAATCAGATACTCTTTAAAAAAAATCCCCAAGTGTATTAATTATGAAGTAATTGAAATAACAATATTTCCAGAACACAGGATTTAATATGACTGGTTAAGAGCTACCCTAACTTTGCCTAATGACCCATGAGTATTAACTACATTTACCCTTGTCCGCGGTACAATCATACAAATGGGTTACACGGACACAAAAGTGATAGTAAACAGTTTGGGCTACTCAACAGAGCCTAACAGTGAGATACTTGGTCTGGAAGTTGCTGGTTTCCCCCTAAAACTTGTTGCCTTCTTTCCAGACACTAGACTATTAGAGTAAAAACCACATTTCTGGAGGTGGGAGAGACAGAACAGAAGGTAAGGTGCTTCCTTACATGTGGCTTATCCCAATTCAAATCATAGGCAACAATATGGTCCTCCAACCATCAGGAGGGTCATGCCTGAGCGGAGGCAGGAATAGCCCCAGAGCATCTCAGGGTGTGGCCCCAAAGAGATAGCTCAATGGACTGGAGGACATCTTCTACATTCAGAAGTCCCAGGTTCAATACATGAAAAAATATGCCCCCCACCCCGGCCAATACATCAACCAAGCCAGGAATAGCTGGGAACACTGCTGGGTGTGGCCCCGAACAAACAAAAAATAATTTAAAGAAATGATCTCCCACTTTACATAATGGCTCTGGTCATCTATTCATCAAGAAATCTTCCCAGAAGGCACATGAGAACTTTGATATCAATTAAAGGGAAATGCCTAACTTTAGCCTTCATTTGCCTCTCTCCAGTTACCCTTTAGCTCTTGAGCTGGTAAATGCCATGGGGGTGGCAGACCAAACCCATGGAAGAGACAAATGGTCAAAGAATCCTCTGGACCTAAAATGCTGATGCTGGAGGGTTAATCTAAGACTGCTGATTACTGCTCTGACTTTGTGGAGCAGCCTAGCCTTCCCCTCTTCCAACCCAACTTCCTCGACCTCAGGCTCACATACCACCAGGCCAGGAGCTCCTATCTGGGGCCCTGAAGGCTGAGCTGTCTGCACACAGCTGCTGCTGCTGCTGCTCCCCAGAAGCCTCCGGATCACCACAGCATCAACTACTCTGTGCAGTGTGGCAGGAAAATACCAGTATCTTTCTCCAAGGGTACTCTTGATTTCTTCCCAAACGAAGATGCTTTTCGGCCAACCCAGACCAGTCCTCCATTTATTTTAATTCTCAAGTCAACAAACCTGATTTCTTTTTAAACAGGCCAATAATGAAACATTACATAATTGCTGAGTTGCATATACCAATTGCCTTCTACTTTTCTTTACCTGTCTGTCGAAATCCTCCTCATTCTCCATCCACATGTACTCTGCAAATGGGTTTTCCTTCTCCTCATGCCCATTTAATCCCTGGTCCTCTTTGGATTTCACACTGGGTGATGTATTCGCTACACTGGACCCATTCATTATGATCGAACCTAAATAAGAGCAAAATAAAATAAATACAAGGATCAAGAAATGAAAACCACTTAATTTTTTTTTTCTTTCTGGGTTTTTGGATCATACCTGGCAATGCTCAGGGGTTACTCCTGACTCTGCACTCAGGAATTACTCCTGGAAGTGCTCAGGGCCAGGAAGATCACTCAAAGGACCGGACACATGCTTTGCATGCATGCAGAAGCCCCAGGTTTGATCCCCAGCACTGCATGGACCTCTGAACACTAAGCCAGGAGTACACCCTGAGCACTGCCAGCTGTGGCTCCCCCCTGGGCGGAGGGGAGAAGGGGGGCGTGTGTGGGGGGGGGGGAGAGAGAGAGAGAGAGAGAGAGACAGACAGACAGACAGATAGACTGCCATAGAGGCAGGCTGGGGGTAAGGTGAGGGGGTGATGGGAGAGAAACTAGGGACACTGGTGCTAGGAAATGTACACTGGTGGAGGGATGGGTGTTGGAACACTGTATGACTGAAACCTAATCATGAACAGCTTTGTAAGGGTCTATCTCACAGTGATTCAATTAAAAAATCTTAAAAAAAATGAATCATTAAGAGTTAAAAGAATAAAGTATCTCAAGTTGGTTAGCCTTTCTATGCAAGAGGATGAGAGGAGTAGGAGTGGGATCTTTTCAAGACAAATTTCTGAATGTTCTAGGACCCAATTTTTGCTGTGGAGCTCACAAACATTCTGATTGTAATGCTTGGGGGTGGGGGGCGAGGGAGAACAGGTTCACCTGCTTACTGGAGTGCTTACTATAATTTTAGGTGAAGTGGTCACTGGGGATGACATACTTTTTAGTCACAGTGTTTGCAAACACTTGGCTGTAGTGTGACAGGAAATCATTTGTGGTGCTGGGATCCAGAGAGAACTGTTAGGATCATGCTCTGTGCATGTGGACAGCACTGAGGATTGAATTCTCAACATCATGCTTGCAAGGCTGATCAGTTTAGCTATTGACACATCTCTAGCCCTGGAAAAATGCTTGTTTCCCACCCAGTGCTAGGGATTGAACCCACACAAGTCAAGTACTCTATTAAGCAACATTCACAGTTCAATAAAATGAACTTTTCACGTGAACACTGTAAGCAACTGACCCTTATTTCATAAGCTTTCTTTAGAACACATTTTAAAAATATTTTATATTGATAAACAGAAAAGGAGAAATTTGAGGCCACCAGTTTTTCAACCATTCAAAGGTAAAAACAATGAATGTGCAACATATAACCTTTCTAACTTCCACTATGTTTATGCAGATACGTTTGCACAAGTATTTCAGAGTCCTTTCTTAGAATAATAGCATGATCCTCCATCACTTCCTTTTCCTTATCTGTATGTTAACATTGCCACACTGTCTTTCAGGGTGTCATTAATGCTTTCACATGATGCAGGTGGATACTTTGGTGTGGGGGGAAGCCCTCTTAAGCACTGTCAAAAGGCCTAGGGACCCCACTAGTGACTCTTGGCCAGCGGCACTGGCAGTTAACTGCCAAGGGTCAGAGGATGAGCTGCTGCTCAGGCCCTGTGTTACTGAGGGGTTACCTGGGCCACCCCAGAGGTGCTGGAGGCCTCCAAGGCCACACTCAGAGGTACTCAGGGAAAGCAGGTGGTGCTGGAAATCAAATTGGATCGGGTGAACGTGAGGCACACGTCCTAGCCGCTGTACTCTCTTCCAGCCCTGGATGAACTCCTATTCATCTTTTCTTATGATTTCCTGAGGGTAATCCCTAGTAATAGAACTAGAAGTACTAGAAACTTAGTTTTTTGGCTCTTGTTTTTAAATCGAATTTCCCCCTCCTGTTGCTTCAATGATGGGTGCTTGCTAGGGGTTGAAAACTTGGTTGGGATGTCCACACACAATGGGCTGTGGTATGCTGGAGAGCGCATACTTGGTTGCGGGCCTTGGGATCACAAAAGACAGCACCAGGGATTGTACTAGGAATGTGGACTCGAGGTCCTGTCCCTGCAAGGCTGGTGCTCTCCTAAGCCATACTCCCAAGCCCTTAGGTTTGTCTAGGCTGAGGTTTTCCCCCGTCATAGATTTTAATTTTCCACCAGTAGTATGTAAGAACCTGCTCCTCTGTATCGTGATCGTGTTTCCCCTCCCCTCATTTTTAGGAAATCAAATTGCCCAAGGTCATTTACATCTTCCTTTTTGCCACCCCCTGCTTGAAATACGAAATTTCCATTGTCTACTTGACTGTGCTGCCAGTAGGTCTGTAAAACAGGAAGCAAGGGAGAAGACTCAAGGAAAGAGGGCTTCTACCCCTCTGCTGACCCACCCACCTCAGCTGCCTTCACTAGAGGAAACATTTGGCTGCATCAGGACTGGTCAAATCTGCTACAAGCACCTACATGGCATCGACACTCACTCCCGACCAGTCCCACAGGAAGCCACCAAGCTCTGAAGTTCACATATTCCGCACAACGTGGGAGATGATCACTGCCAACCAATACCAATGTCTTGGGGAGCCATGAACATAGGCTGGAGTAAGACACTATTCTTTGAAGAAAAAGAAAGTTATCCCCAGTCTTGGTACAGGTGCTCTGGTTCCCTCGCCTTCCCTTGCAGAAAGAATTTGAGGAAAAGGTGAAATAGTGATGCAAGATAGTTGTGTTTTTTTTTTTAAGTTCACTTACTCTTTTTTTTTTTAATTAAATTACTGTGAGATACAGTTACAAAGGTCTCGTGATTGGGTTTCAGTCATACAACCAGCCCTCCACCAGTGTGCTTTTCCCACCACCAATATCCTCTATATCCGTCTCTGGCCACTCCCAGACTCCAGCCTACTTCTATGGCAGGCATCTGCCCACCCTACCTCCCCTCCCCCCCAACACACACCCTCCGCCCTTTTTGGCATTATGTTTTGCAATACATAGAGTGAGAGGCAAGATAGTTTTTATTGAAAAAAAAAACTTATTGAGAAGGACTTATGGGGGGAAAGAAAGGAAATACATGTAAAAAAACTCAGAGGTTACTCCTGGTGCTGTGTTCAGGAATTACTCCTGGCAGGCTGGGAAAAGTCATAGGCAAAGAGACAGAGAGAGAGATGAGATAATCTCATCAACAGACGCCATCCAAAGACTCATTGTCCTCTCAGAAGAAAGCATAAAATGACTCACCATAGCCATGTCACCATGCCAGGCTGTTTCATTCAAGGCACCCCGGGGGCGGGGCCCTGCCCCAAGGGACCCAGTCCCTGAAGCTAAAAACCTCCAGAACTCAACTGTCACCCCTCAGGCCAAGTCTCACTCATGAGGGAATCTATTCCTGGACATCTCAAACCTCACACCACTCATAGTCCAAGAGTAGCACACCAGCACACCACATTTGATGGGTTTTAATGCGGAAGGCAACCAATCTTTGAGGGAAATATATTTTTACGTGTGTGTGTGTGTGTGTGTGTGTGTATGTGTGTGTGTAAGCACACAAGGCTCAACCTTTAACAACATATTAGTAATCTCTTATAGAAGAGCTTAATGGGCGCTGAGTGAAATACAATGATCTTCACACACTCTCCCCTAAGGAAAGTTTTTTGGAGCATTTTTATTGGTTTATTCATAAGAAACAACACAAAATAAATTATTTCAGTTCTGCTTTGGGGCAAGGGGTTGGGGTTCCACATAGAAATATCCAAAATATGGTGGTGGGAAGGTGTAATGGTGGTGGGATTGGTGTTCGAATATTAAATGTAATCAAATATTGTTAACTGTCACTGTCACTATCCTCCAATTGTTCATCGATTTGCTCGAGCGGGCCCAGTAACACTGTGAGACTTGTTGTTACTGTGTTTGGCATATTGAGGAGCTTGCCAGGCTTTGCCATGCGGGCGAGATACTCTTGGTAGCTTGCCAGACTCTCCAAGAGGGGTGGAGGAATTGAACTCGGGTTGGCTGTGTGCAAGGAAAACGCCCTACCAGCCCTGCTATCGCTGGAGCAATAATGCATAATGAATGGAACCCAACCTGTGTTCAATTCCTCCCTCTCTCTTGGAGAACATGGGCTTGAAGGAGCAAGCCATATTCCTTTTTCTGTTTGTTTGCTTTTTCGTTTTGCTTTGGGGCCACACTGAAAAACTCAGAGGTTACTCCTGGTGGTGTGTTCAGGAATTACTCCTGGCAGGCTTGGGGGACCATATGGGATGCTGGGGAGTGAACCTGGGTTGGCCGCATGCAAGGCAAATGCACAATACACTACCTCCTGTACTATCGCTCAGGCCCCTTTATTATTTATCATTAATCCTTTGGTTTTGGAGCCACACCTGATGGTGCTCAGGGTTACTCCTGGTTCTGCAGCAGGCATTACTCCTGGCCGTGCTTTAGGGACCATATGGGATGCTAAGAAGTAGGACCTGGGTCAGCTACATGCAAGGCAAGCACCCTATCCATTAAACTATTTTTTTGGTTCCCCCATGTTATTTTTTAAACCACTGCTGATCTTGAAAGAGAAAACCTGTGATTAATTGTTTACATACATATGTCTTTGATTTTCAACTGAGGATGAATATTTTGAGACATGCTTAGTGGATATATATATACATATACATATATACATACATACATTTATTTTGCAATTTTTCTGCTTAAGTATTTTGACTATTTTTCCTTGATATGTACCTTCTTTTAAAATAATTGTTTTATTTGTAATGATTGTATTTTTCATAAAATAATGTATAAATAAAAACACATGGCAGCTTTTTTTTTTTAATAATGCAGGGGGTCTGGGCCACTGCTGGTAGTGCTCAGGGGCTATTCGACCATATGTGGTACAGGGATATGAACCATGGTTGCGTATCCATGGCTGCTCAAGGCAAACAAACACCTTACGTCCTACACATCTCTCTGACTTACAAATTACTACTGGAATTGGGGGGGGGGGGACACAGTTTTGCTGAACTTAATTTTAATCTTTAATAATTGCCAGCATGTCTTTCTGGCAATTATTTTAGGGGAAGGGCGGGAGGGCAGTTTGGGCCAGACTTGGCA